GGCTGTAATCCACAGCCACAGATGAACGCACACAGCCCAGCATTCGCTGTAGTCCACAGCCACAGATGAACGCACACAGCCCGGCATCGGCTGTAGTCCACAGCCACAGATGAACACGCACAGCCCGGCGTTGGCTGTAATCCACAGCCACAGATGACCGCACACAGCCCAGCATTCGCTGTAGTCCACAGCCACAGATGAACGCACACAGCCCGGCGTTGGCTGTAGTCCACAGCCACAGATGAACGCACACAGCCCGGCGTTGGCTGTAGTCCACAACCACAGATGAACGCACACAGCCCAGCGTCAGCTGTAGTCCACAACCACAGAAGAACGCACACAGCCCGGCGTCAGCTGTAGTCCACAGCCACAGATGAACACACACAGCCCGGCGTCAGCTGTAGTCCACAGCCACAGATGAACGCACACAGCCCGGCGTCAGCTGTAGTCCACAACCACAGAAGAACGCACACAGCCCGGCGTCAGCTGTAGTCCACAGCCACAGATGAATGCGCACAGCCCGGCGTCGGCTGTAGTCCACAGCCACAGATGAACACACACAGCCCGGCGTCGGCTGTAGTCCACAGCCACAGATGAACGCGCACAGCCCAGCATCGGCTGTAGTCCACAGCCACAGATGAACGCGCACAGCGCGTCGGCTGTAGTCCACAGCCACAGATGAACACGCACAGCCCGGCATCGGCTGTAGTCCACAGCCACATATGAACGCGCACAGCCCAGCATCGGCTGTAGTCCACAGCCACAGATGAACGCGCACAGCCACAGATGAACACACACAGCCCGGCGTCGGCTGTAGTCCACAGCCACAGATGAACGCGCACAGCCCGGCATCGGCTGTAGTCCATCGGCTGTAGTCCACAGCCACATATGAACGCGCACAGCCCAGCATCGGCTGTAGTCCACAGCCACAGATGAACACGCACAGCCCAGCATCGGCTGTAGTCCACAGCCACATATGAACGCGCACAGCCCGGCATCGGCTGTAGTCCACAGCCACAGATGAACGCGCACAGCCTGGCATCGGCTGTAGTCCACAGCCACAGATGAACGCGCACAGCCCAGCATCGGCTGTAGTCCACAGCCACAGATGAACGCGCACAGCCCAGCATTGGCTGTAGTCCACAGCCACAGATGAACGCGCACAGCCCGGCATTGGCTGTAGTCCACAGCCACAGATGAACGCGCACAGCCCAGCATTGGCTGTAGTCCACAGCCACAGATGAACGCGCACAGCCCAGCATTGGCTGTAGTCCACAGCCACAGATGAACGCGCACAGCCCAACATTGGCTGTAGTCCACAGCCACAGATGAACGCGCACAGCCCAGCGTCGGCTGTAGTCCACAGCCACAGATGAACACACACAGCCCGGAGTTGGCTGTAGTCCACAGCCACAGATGAACGCGCACAGCCCAGCATTGGCTGTAGTCCACAGCCACAGATGAACACACACAGCCCGGCGTTGGCTGTAGTCCACAGCCACAGATGAACACGCACAGCTCGGCGTCGGCTGTAGTCCACAGCCACAGATGAACACGCACAGCTCGGCGTCGGCTGTAGTCCACAGCCACAGATGAACGCACACAGCCACAGATGAATGCGCACAGCCCAGCATCGGCTGTAGTCCACAGCCACAGATGAACGCGCAGAGCCCGGCGTCAGCTGTAGTCCACAGCCACATATGAACACACACAGCCCAGTGTCGGCTGTAGTCCACAGCCACAGATGAACACACACAGCCCGGAGTCAGCTGTAGTCCACAGCCACAGATGACCGCACACAGCCCAGCATTGGCTGTAGTCCACAGCCACAGATGAACACACACAGCCCAGCGTTGGCTGTAGTCCACAGCCACAGATGAACGCGCACAGCCCGGCGTCGGCTGTAGTCCACAGCCACAGATGAACGCACACAGCCCGGCGTCGGCTGTAGTCCACAGCCACAGATGAACGCGCACAGCCCGGCGTCAGCTGTAGTCCACAGCCACAGATGAACGCGCACAGCCCGGCGTCAGCTGTAGTCCACAGCCACAGATGACCGCACACAGCCCAGCATCGGCTGTAGTGCACAGCCACAGATGAACGCGCACAGCCCAGCATTCGCTGTAGTCCACAGCCACAGATGAACACGCACAGCCCAGCATTGGCTGTAGTCCACAGCCACAGATGAATGCACACAGCCCGGCGTTGGCTGTAGTCCACAGCCACAGATGAATGCGCACAGCCCGGCGTCAGCTGTAGTCCACAGCCACAGATGAACGCGCACAGCCCAGCATTGGCTGTAGTCCACAGCCACAGATGAACACACACAGACCGGCGTCGGCTGTAGTCCACAGCCACAGATGAACGCACACAGCCCAGCATTGGCTGTAGTCCACAGCCACAGATGAATGCGCACAGCCCAGCATTGGCTGTAGTCCACAGCCACATATGAACACACACAGACCGGCGTCGGCTGTAGTCCACAGCCACAGATGAACGCGCACAGCCCAGCGTCGACTACAGTCGACAGCCACGGATGAACACGCACAGCGGCTTTAGCCGACAGCCATGATATGACTTTTCTAATTTTTCATTTATCAAAATAAAATTGTGAACATTTAAAAATGATGTAATGAAAACATATGTGTCTGTTACCTATTCTGATTTATGTGACAAGTAAAGCTGCCTGTAAAGTCAAACAAGCTCTCAGTGCTTTCAAGCTTTCCTCGTCACACAAGCGCAAAACCGACCCGTCGTCAACACACAGCACAGACTGCCGTGCGGAC